GACTTCTAGTACTAAAATTAAAGCTAAGAGCATGTTCTACAAGTTCCATGTTGGCCAAAAATTGAGATGAAACTTGTATCTTGAGATAAGTGGTCTTGAAGTTAGGCACTAAATAGGGGATTTTACCCCGAGAACCCTAGTTTAGCAACTCCTCACACTTTGAATTCTTCTTGTATTGATCTTGGAATATCACCTCGTGTATCTCAAAACAACATCCCATGATCACCATGACTTGGAATTGAGTCTTAATCTCCTTCAATTGCACAGTTGACTCAAGGTTGACCAGGCAAAAACCCTAATTGCAACACCCTCAACTCTGGCTCTTCACACCTAGCACAATGACTTGAATGAGCTCTCTCATGACCCTCAAGGCACTCTATGAGCTCTATCCACATACCCTATCCATGATCAAGGCTTCACAACCCCTGATGGTCTTCAATTGGTCCTCAGGTTAGGAGATGACCCATACACAAGCAACCAAACTTCTCAAGAACACAACCATCTTCCTGATGACTTTGGTGACCTCTCAAGCTTAAATGAGACCTCTAGATAGGCTCCTCTTGATACCAACCCCACTTGATCCCCTTCTAAATGAATAATTCCATGCCATGCCAATGCTAGAACAATGCAATGCTAATGCAATAAAACATAACCAAGTAAGAAAAGGTTAGGCAAATTTTGGGGTGCAACAGTATCCTCATCTGGTATGAGAAATCAGAGAAAACATAGTTCGGGATGACACGACCACAGATTGGTTAAGTGTTTTATACGAGTAGGGTTAAACCTTCATTCTAGTAGTTAGAGACGATGCCTGTTTGCGGTAGAACCAAGAGTTAGCAACTCTCTCTTTCTGAAAATGGTTCTCAATTAATCCCGAAGGATAAAAAGGTTTGAGGTTTTGTTTATGTTTTTTAGTGAAGTGAGTTAGTTTAATTTGTGATTCACGTTGCACTAAAGACTATGACATAGGAACGAATGCGTCGCATATCGCCCCCAAACGGGACGTACACTAAACACTCTAGACAAGCGAGAGGAGACCCTTCACTCATCATTTCCCGTGTGCTTAAGGCTCGTAGCTTACAATGTTCATCGTATTTATTAGATGAGTTAGAATGTGTTTTAAGATGAGAAGAGAGACGCATGGAAGGTCTAAGGGAAACTCGACCCTAACGTTGTCATGCAAAGTGGTCCTAAAGTTGGGATCAAAAGAGAAATCTACCCTAATGTTAGCATGCTTGGATTGAACACCTAATGTCTCTCCTACTCCCAAAGGGACTAGGAATCCTAAGGGATCATGGCAAAAGACCAAGAAAACACAAAGCAATTCAATCACAAGTAGAAATAAATGAAAAGGAATGCAACAATGAAATGCTACCTTCAAGAAAAGTGGGAGGAAAAAGTGTGGGACAGCAGCCACCACAAGCACATCACAACCAAGTGATGCAAGCTCAAACAATGCAAATGATCATCACTTTGAACCACATCCACAAGCATGCATTCAAGTGGAAATCGAACAACGCGTGTCGAAGAAATCATGATTGAACAATCAAGAACAGCAACACAATATCCAGAACATCTCACTAAAATGCGTCATACTGATCCATGAAGATTCAAAGTGAGATGATACCAAAACAAGCTTGAAAAACTGCAAACATGACATTCTGGTTCAATGTTAATCAGTTAACACATATGGTTAACCGATTAACCAGTTAAAATGTTTGAAAATTTGAAAATTCGCACTGGTTAATCGATTAACCAGTTTGCACTGCAACTGGTTAACCGATTAACACTGTACCAGAAGCAGAAAAACAGAAATTCAAAAGCACTTTCAGCAATTAATCACTTCTCTAATAATCCAGATGATCATATAATCACTTATGCACAGATTTAAACTAGAAAACAGTGATCCAACAACATGTAAACACATTCAAACATCAAGATCACAATTCACATAAATCAAATCAACAAAATCAATCAAAAATGAAGATCAACATGATGATTATGCAAATAAGCTCAAAAATAGAATCGGATCTAGAATTTTCAACCTACAAAGCTTAGATTTGCTTTGGTAAATGTTGATTCAACTTCAAATGAGCAGATCCAAGCAAGAAACCCGGAGATTCTTCAAGATCCAAGTGATTTCTTGTTGCAGAAGTGAAGATCCACCAAAATTAAACAAAGTCGATCCAAATAAGCTCCTCTAGATCAATTCAAAATTCAGATCCAAATTCACACGAAAATTGAATGGAGAAAATGGAGGCAATAAGGATGAAGGATGAAGGTTTAGCTCTAGAATTCAATGATTCCAATGAAGAATCAAAGAATTCAAGGTGAGAGCTCTAATGGAGTTTTGGAGTGAAAGAAGTTGAGAGAAAAATTCAAAAGTGAGAGTGAATTCTGAAAATGAAATGAAATTATGAGGATTGTGTGTGTGAGATTTGGAGCAAATCATTTAAATATGCTCTTGGTTAGGATCCAAATATGGTTTGGAGTGTGGTTTGTGAAAATTGGAATGAGATTAGGAATGGAAATTTGAATTGATTTTGAAAATTAACCAAAATTCAAAGTGGTTCTAGATCCTTCTTCTGGTGTAAAATCAATTCACAAGTGATCAAAATTGGACCCCAAAGTGGCTGCCTTTGAAAATTCACGTGCAGAGGCCAAATTTGTCTTGGTTAATCGGTTAACCATTTGGGTTAATCGATTAACACCTTTAAAAATTCAAATTTGTCCTGATTTTGCCATGGTTAACCGGTTAACCATTTGGTTAATCGGTTAACACCTTGAAAATTTGAATTTTGGCGCCTTTTGGAGGGAAAAGTGCACATTTGTCCGTTTTCTTCCGTTCTGAGCTCTGTTAAGCCTCTGAAACTTAATCTTGAATACTACAACCATGAGAATGCTTGAGATAACCTAAATGCTACCTCCTGAGCTACAAATTATCCTACAAAATAAAATAAAAGCGGCCGCTCGATCGTCGAACAAAATAAATGTCGGAGCCTCTAATGCTCGCCGTTCAGTCTCTTGCACTAAAAGAGCCTTGAGCCATAGAAAAACCTTGATCCAATGCCTCAAGAACAAATGCTATGATATGCAGAAATATGAAAATGCAAAGAAGCAGAAGCCAGTTAAGGTTAAAACGGAATGGCAAATTTTGGGGTGCTACAAGTATATGTAAGGAAAAACAATAATGAATTGTTTATACTATGTCTCTATGTCGATGATCTGTTGATAACAGAAATTTGCAAAAAAGAGATCGAAGATTTCAAATATGACCTAAGTGAGGAGTTTTAAATGTCATACTTGAGAAACCTCTCATACTTCCTTCGTAGAGAATTCTACAAGAGTATTAGAGGCTTGATGATGCACCAAAAAAGATATGCAGGTGAAACACTCAAGAGATTTGAGATGCAAGATTGCAACCAAATTTCGACTCCAGCTGAGCCTAGATTTCAACTGTCGAAAGACACAGATGAAGGTGATATCGATCCAACGTAGTATAGAAGACTCATTGGATCACTTCGATACCTCTGCCATACAAGGCGAGACATAGCTTATGGTGTAGGTATGATGAGCAGATTGATACAGAAGCCAAAAGTATCACAGCTAGCAGAGAAGAAAATGATATTAAGGTATCTAAAAGTAACTCTCGACTATGACATTTTGTTTTCTGCAGTCGATGAAGGAAAAGGATGCAAGTTAGTGGGATACACTGACTAAAGTTGGTGTAGTGATGCTAAGTATAAAAAATCCATAGTTGGCTATGTGTTTATGCTAGGTGGTGCACTAATTGCTTAGAGTTCAAGAAAGGATCAGTAGTGACACTATTGTCATGTGAAGCAGAATACATAGTTGCTTCTCTCTGTGCATGTCAAGCAACATGGATGGTGAATTTGGTCGAAGAAATTATAGCGAAGAATCATGGAGCAATTACCATAAAGATCGATATCATGTCTACTACCAACCTGACGAAGAATCCAATAGCGCATGGATAAAGCAAACACATTGAAATGAGGTTTTATTATCTTCGAGAGCAAGTGGCAAAAACGAAGCTGAACTTGGAACACCGCAGAATTGAGAATCAGATTGCAGACATCATGATGAAAGGAATGCAAGTCGAAGTGTTCAAGAAATTAAGATCTATGATGAATGCAAATAGCTTAGAGACAATGAAATATGTGGTGTGTTGATTTGTAATTCCTCGTGTCGAAGCAGATTGCTCGACAGAAGTAAGGAAATGTCGAATTGCTAAGTGCCGAATTGTAATAGTCGTCGAGATGTTGAAAGAAATGTATCTTCAACATGTTCTTTAGACTTAGCTTTATTTGTGTTTAGTTGAGTTTGTTTGTTAAGAGATTTCTTGGGTTGCAAACAATCTCAATCTATAAATAAGGAGGTGGCCTATCATTAACTGTAACTTGAAAAAAAGGAATATTGTAGATTGCAAAATTGAGAGCAAGAGAGAAATTCTGCAGATTTCACAACTTTTCTTCTTCCCTTTTTCTTCTTCTTTCAATAATCATTTTACAACAATATCATCTTAAAATCAAGGTTGGTTGATTCACTCGAGTGAAAAATTAAAAATAAAATGTATAATCAATCAAGAAAGATTAATTCTTGTACATCAAAATTTGATTCGAAATTCTAAAAAATTTGATAAAATTCCACATTGAAAATTTAATTTAATTTCAATAAAATGTACTCCTTAATCAATTAATTCTTACACTATAGTTTGATTTTTACTATAAAAATTAATGTATAAAAAACTCTTTTATCCGTCTAACTCTCTCCTTTTTTTATTTGATAAAACTCACACTCATTTCTCGTAGTAGGAAAATCAGTGTCAATTTTTACTATAGGCTTTCTTTCTTATCAATTTTTTTTTGTCTTTCCTTCTAGTACCAAATAAACCTCAAGCATACAAATTCGAGAATGACATACACTGTGTTTCCTAGGCACACTGGAGTGGTCAAACCTTAAAACAACAAACAACAACAACAATGCAAACATCAATCGCATTCTCTCCATTTCCAAACACACTCATCAAATTCAGAACACAACCTTCCAAACCAAACCCTATTTTCCATCGAACCAAACCATCTTCTCCCATTACACTATGCAATTTTCAACCTCAATCACCCTCAATCCCTTCCACACTGAAAACCCCCCAATTCCGCTTCTCCAACGCGGGTCCTCTTCGTTGCGGCATTTCGTCGAACAGCGAGAGCGCAAATGTGGGTGAGAGGAGTTTAAGGCAGTGGGTCGAGCTTACTGGTGAGGTGATATCCACGGCCTTTCCTTTGTGGGTTACGATTGGGTGTGCATTGGGTTTGGTGAGACCGAGTTCATTCAATTGGGTTACTCCTAAATTGAGCATTGTGGGTCTTAGTGTAATTATGCTTGGCATGGGTATGACTTTAACTCTTGATGATCTTCGTTCTGCTCTTTCTATGCCTAAAGAAGTCTTCTCTGGTTTTTTCCTTCAATATTCGGTTAGTATCTTTGTAAAACCACTTATTTGAACTGCCTTAATCATTGAAATTGTTGTTGGAATTTGTGTGTTAACATATCATTTTTGTTTTAAAAATTTGTATCAGAAAACAATAAAATGTTTTTTCTCCCTTCAAAGAGGTAACACAAGGATTTTTCATGCAACAAATTAAGTTTAATGTCCATTTTCACCTATATGCATACACAATTGCGATAGATGAAGGTGATATTTTCAAGATTTTAAATTACGGTTGTAGTCACATTGTGATTGCGATCCTGGATATTGTGAAGAATTGTAGATAGAACAGATGCAGTTATTGCTGCTGTGATTGTGGTTGCAGAGGTTCTAAAATGCTTGACGTTCCGGCCACAATTTATTCAAAACTTAGTATATTTTGATTCAAAACAGCATGTTAGTTCGCATGTTTTATATCGTTCGAAATTGTTTATCTTAATGAGAACTTCTTTCTGACAATTTTTTCAGGTGATGCCATTATCTGCATTTTTTATAAGCAAACTCTTAAATCTTCCCTCACATTATGCAGCTGGTTTAATATTAGTTGGGTGCTGTCCAGGAGGTATGCGTTTTAGTCTGCCCTTAACCTCTGTTTTACGTAATCTTTCTTGGTTGCATCACATTGTGTAGATGGAGAATTATGCTTTCTGTCTACTTGTAACCTATTCTATGCAGTCTTTGTTTGGTTGGGACACATTTGGTATTATGGAGATGGTGCTTTATGATTTATGCCCATCCTTAACCTAATTTTTGTAGTCTTTGTTTGGTTGCAGGCACAGCTAGTAATATTGTTACATATCTTGCACGGTACATGAATGTTATTCTAGTGAATGTTTTATTATAGATTTGATGAGCATGGTAATCTTGATGATCTATTTGTTTTGCTAGTGGAAATGTGGCGCTTTCTGTTGTAATGACAGCTGCAAGTACTCTATCAGCCGTGGTTAGTATATTATGATAATCATCTTAGTTCTTTATTTTTTTGCTTTATCAGCTCTTCAAAACACCGCATCAGGAAAAGGGTAAAAAAGAATCTTTGGGGAGGGGTTTGTGTGTTGAACTGAATTTTTATATTAGCGATTGAGTAGTACTTTTTTTGGTAAACAACTTGTCAATTTGATTTGTTGACGTCTAAATATTACAGATCATGACTCCTTTTCTGACAGCCAAACTAGCTGGTAAATATGTAGCTGTGGATGCAGCTGGCTTATTAGTGTCGACATTGCAGGTTAACACTCGTTCTCACATTCTGTTTTTAATTTGTTTCGACACTTCTCTCACAAAAAATAATCTGTCTCTACATTCTCTCTCAACAGGTTGTGCTTTTTCCTGTATTAGCTGGTGCGCTTCTGAATCAGTATTTCCAACCTCTTGTTAAACTTGTATCTCCATTGATGCCACCCTTGGCCGTTGCAACTGTGGCAATTTTATGTGGAAATGCAATTTCACAGAGTGCTTCTGCAATCCTTATGTCTGGAAGACAGGTAATCTTAGCCGTCTGCCTTCTTCATGCTTCTGGTTTTTTCTTCGGATACGTTCTTGCAAGAATTCTCGGGCTAGATGTGCCATCATCGCGAACCATATCCATTGAAGTTGGCATGCAGGTAAATTTAATATTCTGTAATTACAATTTTAAGCATAGGCAGATTGCTAGTTAATATACCTTTACACGGTCCTTTGTTCAATTGCGCAAAATCTTACCCGTTTTTTAAAAAATTGATATTCTAGAACTCGGTTCTCGGTGTAGTTCTGGCTGCCAAGCACTTTGGAGACCCCCTAACGACAGTACCTTGTGCTGTTTCAAGCGTATGTCACTCAATCTTTGGTAGCATATTGGCAGGAATGTGGAGACGTTCTGTGCCTCCCGAGATAAAGGACTGAACATACTTAGCTGAATAAGCATTTGAGTGTAACTAGGATGTTTCATTGTTATAACATTTTGTGGTCACAAATAAGATACTGGTATATTTAAATATCTTGTGGGTTCTATTATATATATGCTAAGGACAATAAATTGCATTTTGATATGCTTGTTATAGGTTTTGTTTTAGGGGTTGCTTATACATCCTATATATTTCTCACATGCCATGTGAAAGACTAAAAGTGTCTTTATCAGGGAGTTATTTCCGGATGCACCTAATTGAAAAATGAGTTCGTCCGAAAGAGAATTTCTAGAAATCCTATGAAAGTCCGAAAAAAGACAATTGAAAAATAGTGTCTGAAAGATAACTTTACGATAGAGTAATTTTAGGCGTTTATAAGATTTGTGAGAAATGCATAGAGGTGTGATGAATAATCTCTTAAAAATAACATTCTACTTTTTAAAAGGGAATTTCTTAAAGCATCCTAGATATTTGTTAGACATTTTGTGAAAATTTAAAAATGAATTTAATTTTTGAAGATATATTTTCGAATGCATTCAATATACACATTTCATTTGTTTTTGAGTCACAATATAATTTTATGAATAAATTTATTTTGAATATACATCTACGAAATTTTTTCGAAAATTAAAAGAAGTGCTTTTTGGATGACTGGTTGCTGTTATTGAGCCTCTATATACACAAAACAAGTCAAGTTGTTAAGTATAGTTACTCGAACCGTAGCCTCTATACACAAAACTAGTCAAGTTGTTAAGTATAGTTACTCGAAACGTAGCACATATAGTGGTGCAAGACCTGCCACCACATATTCACCGGTTAGAAGATTGATTAAGATATTCAATTACCACGAAATTGATAGCCAAATTATCTTGAAGCAAAAGGGGGAAATATACCATGTAAGAACAGTTGAACATAGTAAGACTCGATAAGATAACAAGTGAAAATGGACGGACCATATTCTGATTTAATATAATTTTTTTTTCTTATTACACTCTATATACTTCTAACACACCGTGTGGATTTTCATATATGTCTTATAATTTTGGAGATATATCTCTGGACACACTCTATACATACGCAACCAATGCCAATCTGAGATACGCCTCATACATTTGAGTTAGTTTTATTCTGGAGATATATCTGCGGAACAGTTTTAGAAAAATATTTTATTGTCCAGTTCAGTGGATATTCCGGAAATGCATCTCTAGAATTATGGGTGGCAATTTGAATTTTTTTGTCACTTTTGCATGTCAGGTATTTTCGGAGATCGGAAATATTTGATATAGCTTACAACTGCATGATCAGTCCCCCATTGTTGCCATACTCCATTCTCAACATAAACCTTCTCCCTAAAAATTCTTTATTCTCAATCCATTTTTTTCACTCCAAATCCCCATCCTTTTGGTTCAACATATCATAGGGAGCGAAAGAAGATAAAATTTCAAGTAAAACTTGTTCTTTTTCCACTACAATGCTCACATTAATCATCAATTTTTTTTCTAAAAAAACTTACACTGTGACCAAAGATGTAACTCCAGAACATGTATGAACTTGTCTGGATATACATTTTCGGAATGTGTTTGTGTTCATTTTTCAGCCCTTGTGCAACAGGAGTTAAATTAATATTCTGTTATTGCTTTAATTTTTCTCAATAGATATGGTGCATCCCGATGTTTTCCCAAAACAAGTAGTTTCTCTAAACGATGTTTCGTCGAATGTTCAAGGGGTTGTTGTGAAAGCGGTAGATGTTAGAACGACTTTAATAACAAGCAAGAGTTTGAAAATCGTGATAAAATGCTTGCATGAATTCCCATGGAGGCATCTAGATTTGGATTTGGTGTGGTTATCAGAAGGTCCAATAATGACTTGAATAGAAGACGCGCCCTTGTGACAATGGCGTGCGAAAGAAGCGGGAGATATCAAACTCCTCTCTGGAATTTTAAAAGAGACGACACGAGTAGTAGAAAATGTGAGTGTTCGTTTAAAGTTCGTGGTTACATGTTGGCAAACAAAAACTGAAGATTTAATGTGATATGTGATTTGCATAACCATGATTTGTGTTTAAAATTAGCAGGTCATCCTAGTGTTCGTCGGCTCAAGCTAGAAGAGAAATAATGTATTAGTAACATGTCCTTGAATCTTGTTCAACCGAAAAATATTGTTGCAACATTGAAACGGAAGCGATCCGACAACATATCAAATATCAAGCAAGTGTATAACATTCGGTACCTCACTAACAAGGCGATTAAGGGAGATAGAACTGAGATGCAACAACTCTTAAAACGGTTGGACGATAACAACTATGTATCCCGGTACCGAACGCACGATGATGAAGTTACGGTTAGAGATATTTTTTGGACTCATCCTGATTCTATAAAGTTGTTAACACGTTTTCGACAGTGCTCATATTTGATTCAACCTACAAGACCAATAAGTTCAAACTTCCTTTATTTGAGATGGTTAGTGTTGCCTCAACTGAGAAGACATATTTTGTTGGTTTTACATTTCTTGAGTGTGAAAAAGAGGACAATGTTACTTGGGCACTAGAAGTGTGTCGGTCACTTTTGAAGGATCAAAGTGAGATGCCTAAAGCGATTGTTACCGACTGCGATACCCCATTCATGAATTCGTTTGCTAAGGTATTTCCTTCTTCTTATACATTACTTTGTACGTATCACATAACAAAGAATGTAAGAAGTCGGGTAAAACCTACGGTAGGGACGAAACAAATAAAGTCCGTAGGTGAAAAATTAGTGAAGGTGGGTCTGATTGTGGAAAAAATAATGGATGCATGAAATCTTATAATAAATTCTTCCACAAAAAAATTAGATGCCGATTCCGTTATTCATTTCTGAAAAGTGTGTGAAAAGTATCCTGCTTTGTTGAAATATGTTGAAAGCACAATTCTTGATCAGGTGAAGGAGAAGATAACCTGCGCTTGGACTGATAATGTTAGACACCTTAAAAATACAACTATCAACATAGTTGAGTCGACCCGTGCTAATTTGAGAATTTGTGTAGAGACTGGGACTCCGTGAACCACATGATTCAGAACCAGCATAATGAGATACAAACAACATTTGGTCAGAGCATCACAGTTTTGGAACACTTATTTAAAGATAACACTTTATATTCTCATTTGTTCGATAACATTTCTCTGGCGGATTTGAACTATATTTTTCATGAGGCTAAACGAGCTGATAACGTAGGCTCCGATAGCGCAAAGTGTGGTTGCACTATTGGGAAAACATATGGTCTCCCGTGTGCTTGTACTATTGTTAAAAAGGTGAACCTTGGTGAACCAATAAGAATAGACAATGTATGCTCTCATTGGAAGAGACAAGTTTGATGATGATGGATGCACGAATGACAGGAAATCGAATATCTCTATTTTGATCGAATGAGAAGCGATACAAGAGAGATTTTCAAAGGCTGATGACAACATGAAAATCGCACCAAAGAACAATTAAGGAATATTTCCTATCTTGAAACCACCAACATGAAACCTTCTTCTTAGCCGGTAAAAACAAAAAGTGCTTTGAAAAAAATGAAGCCTACACCGAATGACAACTCAATTACACAGTCTTCTTCATATTTTGAGCACATTGACAAAGTTTTTCCCAACTAACCCAGCTATTTCGACTTTACTCGGTAAATGAGAAAATAGCCATGCGCTTGTTCGACATCAACTTATCCAAGAGTTGAAGACGAATAAAGAATCGTACATGCGATTGTATGGACATAAAGAAAAATGCGATGCAATTTATGAGTCTCTTGTTCCTTGCTTGATCGGTCTGACATCAGAGAAAAAATGGATGAGCTTCCCCGATATGGGTCACCTAATAACACGTGCATATGATAGAGTGTGCATTGACCTGATACGTTACGGGTTTTTGAAAACTTTTTTTCCACTGTGTACCACACCACCTCAAAATCTAAATGATCATATCATGTGTATTGGATGGCTGTCAAGATCAATTCATTTCGTTCAAGTTTACTTGAAACCAAGTTGCCCCATACCACTCATATCACCAGAGTGGACGACTCATTCAACTGCAAAAGCCGAGACATGGCCATATCATTTTATGGAAAGGATGCAAGAATTCGAGAGATTGAGCAACATTGAAAAATAATTGAATGCACAAAAGTCCAAGTGTGTACCACCTATAGATTTAGCCGGCGACACATGTTTCGATTTGTTTTGATATCTTGTTTAACTAGACAAATAATTGTATATAATTGTGTCTCAATATAAATGAAGTGCTAGATATTCACTTTTTATTCATATTTGATCTTTATGCATATTTGGTTCATATTTGGTCTTAATGTGAGTGTCTGTTATATGGTTCTGTTTTGGAAATGGTTCAGGAGAAGTTCCAAAAATACATATTCGAAAAGTTCTATCATATGGTTTGTTTTTGAAATGGTTTAAGGAAAGTTTCGGATATGCATCTCGAGAACAAGATAATAGGATGCATTTTCGGAGATATATCTCTAGAATCAATACGACAGTTAATGAGTGATCCATATTTAACTAGGTCTTCTATAAATTTAGGTGTTCTTGTGTTATATTTCACACAAACTTAAAATGTCTAAAATGTCCCAAATAAAAATCTGCTGGTATGTCGCAAATGTCTCCTACTCCGACGACTTTACACTAGGCCGATCGTTCAAGCTCACCGATCTCACCCCTCGAAGATATCATAGACGAAATCCGCTATCTCCTACCTTACAGAGACAAACGAAGGGATGTGAAGCTAGAGTACCATTCACCTTCGGTTGACAACAAATGAAACATTGTGTTCAACAAATTTGAGCTAAAGACTCGAGTGGATGTCAGGGCTTTATGGGATACATATTTCGGTTTCAAAGAGAAAGTTCCGCTCGAGTTGGAAGCGACGCTACAAAGGCCAGCCGAAAATATCCTGAAGATGTGCAAGCGTCCGCCGAGATATTGAAATGTAATATTGAATTTTCTGTTGAAATCATCATCGTAAGGATTATTTTATGTTATGAATGTCAATTGCATTTTGGAAAGTTCAGTTTCTGTTGAATCTATTTTTGGTGTTTTTCCGGAGATGTAACTACGAACTTATTTCGAAGATGCATCTCCGAATCAAATTAAACCCAACATATATGACGCCTCTCAAAATGACCTTGGTTGAGTGTGTAAAGGGTGCGTCCGAAGATATATCTTCGAAAACAGGCGACATTTGTGAAATTTCGCATGGTGCAGTAAAAACATATAGGGTGCAATAAGAAATCTTCTAATATAATCTAGCAAAGTGATAATAAGCTATAACAAAGGAGGGGAAATAATCAAATCAATTTTGTATTCTGAAAACCCTTAAAATATAGTTTTCTAATGAGTGTTGATAAAACAATTTTGTGAGAATAGTATTATTATGATATTAGATCAATCAATTTTACCACGGAGAAAACAAAACAGAAAGAGATTAGAAAATTCAAAAGCCCCCATAGAAAGAGATTATGCAACAAGCTCTGTCTAGTTGTTGATCCCTTGATTGCTTCAGCAGCTGGTCATCAAAAAAACACTTTTTTAATTTTTGAAAATACATTTTTGAAAATTTTCTGGAGATTCATTTTCGAAATAAATATATTCGTGAAATTGAATTGTGACTAAAAATCGAATGAAATACATGTATTTAGGTGTGTTCGGAAATACATCTTCGAAAATAGAGAATATTTTTGAAATTTCACAAAGTGCCTAAAAGACATATAAGATGAGTTAAAAAACTCTCTTCTAAAAAGGTCCGACTTTGAACAGCTTAGCCCGTTTTTAATCACATTCCTTATCCTATTCTTAATCACATCCCTTTAGCTATTCTGTTTAACTTATGCATAATCATACTTTAGATTTTGGCCTAATTTGAGCTAATAGTCTGTTTCAAAATCTATTTGGCGTTAACATTCAACTTGATTCACACCTATCACGCTCCCTCTCCTCCTCTTCTCCTTTATTGCTTCCATTCATCTTTTCAAATTGATGGTAAAATCAATTCAAAAACTTGCGCCACCGCCTCCACTTCCACTGTCTTCATTTAGATTTATGTCAAAAGCAAAGAAAGTGTTAATAGTAAAAGATTGGGAAGGAAGACAAATATAGTGGCGAAGAAAATAACGATGAAGATACGAATATTCATTATGCTTGAATTTTTATTAAAGACTTTAATTAAGTGTGTATTTTTTTGAATTTGATTGACATTCGTGAAATATGTTTTTTCTAAGAGTCATGATTTTTATTTATAAATTATAAATGCTCTATAAATGTTGATTAATTTATTTTGATTTTTCCATTTCATTTTATGGGATAGCTGGACCATTTTCCGAGTTTAACATCATAGTCAAGCATTGGAAAATTTGTGACGTTGTGCTGGTGATAAACTTTTGTAAGGATTGACTTTTGGGTTGATAGCAAAACAACAATTATTTTAGAAGTGATCATAATAACATTAAATAATTCAACAGGTTAAACTGTTTTTTATAAAGAGGTATTGAAAGTGTCCTCTATACACACACAAAGACTCGACTATTCTAACAAGCTACCGACCCTAAATCAATTCAAAGCTTCGTTCCACAGTAAACCAGTTTGCTGGTACAAGTAACATGGTTGAAAAATGTGGCAAGTGGTGTTACACTTTTCTTCCTCAACCTAACACATATTTCATATCTTCACCGTTCTCCATATATCATATCCTATAAATAATATCAATCCATTGCTACAACATTAACACACAACCCAAATTCCCTTTCAACCATGTCAAGCCTTACTCTTCTGCTATGGCTTTTCATGGCCACAACAATTCTAGCACAATCTGAAAACGAACAAGTCCTTGACACAAAAGGCAACCCTGTTGAGAGTGGCAAAGAGTATTACATAAAACCAGCTATAACAGATAATGGAGGCCGTTTCACTTTGATAAGCCGAAACACTTCATGCCCTTTATATGTAGGTCAAGAAAACACCGATCTTGGAAAAGGGTTACCTGTTATCTTCACCCCTTTTGCAAAAGAAGATAAAGTTATTAACGTCGGCAGTGATTTCAAGGTGACATTTTCAGCTTCTTCAATTTGTGTACAATCCACTGAATGGAAAGTGGGTGATAGAGACAGTAAGAGCGGAAGGAGGCTTATTATAACAGGAACCGATCGTTATAACTATTTTAGAATCGCCAAGACTCAAGGTATATATAACATTGAGTTTTGTCCCTCTGTGTGTAACACTTGTAGGTTTGCTTGTGGAACTTTGGGTGCTTTGCGTGAGAATGGCAAGATTTTATCAGCTTTGGATGGTAATAAGCTCCCAGTTGAGTTTATAAAGGCATAA